CTCTCCACTTCTCTTCTCTCTATACACCAATGACTGCATCTCAAAAATCCCTCTGTTGAAGTACTGAAGTTTGCAGATGATACAACAGTGATTGGTCTCATTGGAGACAAATGACAAATTTTGCATACAGACGGGAGATTGAGCAACTAGCCTTGTGGTACAACTAGAACAATCTGGAACTAACCAAACTCAAAACCGTAGAAATGGTGGTAGATTTTAGGAGAAACCCTCCTATACTACCACCTCTTACAATACTAGACAGTACAGTATCTACAGTAGAAACCTTCAAGTTTCTAGGGTCTATCTCAAGACTTAAAATAGACACCTAACATCAAAAATTTCATTAAAAAAGGACAATAAGAATGTTCTTTCTGTGCCAACTCAGAAAGCTCAAACTGCCCAAGTAGTTGCTGATACAGTTCTATAGAGGAATTATTGAGTCTGTCATCTGCACCTCTATAACTGTCTGGTTCGGTTCTGCAACCCAACAAGATAGACACAGACTTCGATGGATAATCAGAACGGCAGAAAAAACAATTGCTATCAACCGGCTTTCCATCGAGGATCATTCCATTGAGGACCTGTATACTGCACAAGTCAAAAAGTGGGCTGTGAAAATATCTACAGACCTTTCACATCCTGGACATAAATTGTTTCAATTTTTACCCTCAAAACCAGGCTATAGGGCACAGCACACCAGAACAACTAGACACAAGGACAGTTCCCCCCCCCCCCCGAATGCCATCACTCTACTAAACAACTAATTCCCATAACGCTGTCTAACTATTTACTAAGACTGTATTACTATTATTCTCCTCATTACCTATCTCCTCCCACTTATGACTATAACCACGTTGCTTGTATCTTTATAATTTATATTGTTTTATTTATTTGCTGGTGTGATTTGATTGCTTATTAATAACCTATGACTATCACTAAGTGTTCTATCTTATGATTCTTGATGAATATATTTTTTCTTCTTTTTATGTACACTGAGAGCATGTGCACCAAAGTCAAATTCCTTGTGTGTCCAATCACACTTGGCCAATAAAGAGTTCTATTCTATTCTGTTCTGTTCTATTCTATTCTGTTCTGTTCTATTCTATTCTATTTCCATTGTCTATTCTATTCTATTCTATTCTATTCTATTCTATTCTATTCTATTCTATTCTATTCTAATACTATTATATTTTATTCCTCCTTTCGGCAAATACCCAGCAACCGCCCATAGCAACAGTAGGCGGCGGCTCCCCTTTTCCTCCTCAAATAAAAGTTTCCCGCGGCCCGGCCCACTGTTCCACTGGCCGGCTTTCCCACGCACCTCGAAAACACTGCATCTCCGCAGCTTCGAAGCCCTCAGCCTGAAGGAAGGCGCACAGCTGCTCCGTGTCCCAGGACCGAGGATAGAGGTGAACGGAACCTGCCGAGTCTGCAGCGGTAACGCCGCGCTTTTGAGGCGTTTGGAAGTCATCGGCCGAGCTGGTAGGCCGGGCCCGTTTAAGGACGCCTTCCCGGTTACCGTTCGACATTGCTCTGCCGCTCTGAGAAGGAGAACGGCGAGCAGCAGCTTTTCTTCGCTTGCGGGGGCTCCGGACCCGCCCCTTTGCTACCTCACCACAGCGAGTTGGCGGAGGGAGGGAGCCACATGACTGTCGCTGGCCTCTCCGAGTCGGGAGGGGCGACCAGGCAGAGGGACCCTTGCGCGGAAAGTACCGCTGGAGACTCGCCCTGCCACGTTAACAAGAGATAGAAACGCGTGGGAGTAAGAGCCGACCTACAAACCACGACCCGCCAATGGACCCATCCATTCGCCCACTCCTTGATATTTTTGCCTCCCCCGCCCCCTTTTTGAGAAACGAGCAGTGGCTCAAGCTGATGGTGATATCGCCAGGATGATCGGGACAAAGGGGACATCTCTACCCAGTTTCGGAGGTCTAAATCGGCCTGCTTGTCGGCTGTTCCATGTTTTCAAATAAAAAGGCAGTAATGCTTTTTTTAAAAAATACACACTGAAGTCGTTACAAATTTAATATCTAACAACTATGTGGTTCCATTGTTGTAATCTCCCTTCCCAAAACTCTTCTGATGTGTTAGCTTCCATTCTCGACGTTTCCTCTCCATGCAAAAAATGTCTCGGGGAGGGCGCCCTCGCCTCCTCAGACATGAGTGTGTACCTTGGGGTCAGCTTTGACGCCTGGTGACCATCAGTTTTCTTAGCAAGATTTAAGAAGTGGTTTGCCATTGCCTGCCTCCTAGAGCTGAGAGTGACTGGTCCAGTTACCCAACTGGCTTTGGCAGGACTAGTCATCTGGTTTCTAGCTTGAACCCTTAACCATTACACCAAACTGGCTACCATTCTCAAATTTGAGCCTTTCCAACATATTGTCAAATGAAACTTCAGGGAATGCACTTTTCTTTTCCTACGATTTGTCTCATCCTTCTTAGACGATCCATTTTGTCCAAATATTAAGAAGCAGCATAAGGGTACATAGGTAGGACGTGAACTGAATTGCCATTTTCATTGGAGCTGCTTTCTTGCAAACTTATAAATTATGATTTTCCAACATATAGGCACACACGCCCTTCTGATTTAGTGCAATGGAAGTCATAAAACAAATCTTAAGTCCTAAATCAAAATACGTTATTTCCTTTTGTATTTTCACTTCCTTATCCACATGTCTTGGCAGATCTTTACCTCTGAAACTAACCAGGGTTGGGCCCACTTCTTGGATGGGAAAATGCCAAGAGACAAAGGATGGATTATATTGTTGTTATCTATTATTCATGTGCATTGTCTGTATTTTGAAATTTAGGGTGGGAAATTGAGCAGTTTGGAATGGAAAAAAACTCTGGCTAATGTGAAACAGATGGAAATGGAAGATATTGAAAAAGAAAATAAAGCTCAGAGAATATTAAGAATCCAACAATTCAACTCTGAACTACATATATTCCTAAATGGAAGGATTCCATTGTTCCACAGTCCACTATAAATGGAAGAATATGAGAAAATGGAAAGCAGAGCAGCCTGATACATTTAGCAAGCACTGAATAAAATAAGAAATTACTGTTCTGTAGTGTGGGCCAGCAACTATTAATCTTCTTGAGAACCAAAATTTGTATAGATAAAAATGAATTTGGATGTAAAATATGATTTGTTTTAAAGATGTATATTTATATTTAATTATACTGGGAAATTTTAAGATTAAGCATATTCATTACCAGTTATATAGGACTAATTGTCAATCTACCCTCTTGATATTCCTTGAATTCTCATATGTGCATTCTTCCAGGGAACAACATTGTAAATGTTGAGAAAGCCAACTTAAATCAAGATTTTCTCACAAGCTCCTACTTTCACATAATTATTCCAATAACCTTTTAATAACCTTAAAATGCATTATTTAATATAGCCGTGATCAAAACCTTCAGAATAATGACATAAATTCAGAGTATAAAAATCAAAATTCATAACTGCCATAAATTTTGTTTTGATAATGGAGCATCTTAAAATTCTAATACACTGATAACCGTCTACCTACAAAACATAAAAACTTTAGGAAGGACAGAGAATTGAGTCACAAAAAAGCTTTGGTGCTCACAGCATCTTTGCTGATTTAATGGTCTGCTCTTTCACTGACAACATCTTGAAGACGTTTAAGTAAAACATCATCATTCTCCTGACAAAGTCTCTTAGCTGGTGAGTCTGTGTCACTATCAATTGATATTGCTCTCTTCTTAGGTCTCTGTCCTTCTTGTTTAATCATATTGTTAATTTCCTTCAAACTCTGTCAAAATGAAAACATCACAATCAAAAATAATACTAAATTTCACAGTTAAAAGAGCTTAATATGTTTTATTAGGTTTTGATTTTT